ACTTTCTCTAACTGAGGGTGACAGCCCTCCTACCAGGCCAGTGAGAAAGACCATACATGGAGACCTGGGATTTGGTGGATTTGAACATCCTTTTACACAACTTGGAGTCCTGATGTAGCCCTGCAAGATGCAGCACTGGACCACAAGGTTAGCTTGAACCACAAGGTCAGTGAATCAAACTCCCCAGCTGCTCCTTGGAAACAGGGTCTCTATGTATTGGAAACAGATCGACAGTACTTATCAACAACGACATTACAAAACTTGGGATGGTTTCCCAGTCAAAAGGAACTTCACTTTGTAAGAGATCACCCAAGAGAGGAGAAGAATCTGGAGCTGGGGTGAGCAGCTGGCCAAGTCCCTGGATGGTAAGATACTTCCTGGTTTTCTGGTAGGGATCATAGAGCTTTGACCAAAAATCACAGAGCCCACCTCATTTTCCAAAAGTTAAAAGGTCTTAATATAGAGAATAAGTTAGAAGGATAAAATAGTTACCACAATGTTTAGAGAGCTGTGAAATTCCATCTTTTGCTAGATCCTTAAAAGCTTCTGCTCTTTGATAAAGTCCCACCCTCTGCTTTAGAAACTGGAATAAACCATACCCATGAGGCTTTCTACTCCCGGAAGGATTTACACCCTCGGAAACCCTGTACAGGGTCGCTATGGGTCGGAACCGACTCGACGGCACTTAACAACAACAACAACATTGCTGTTGGGTCAGTTCAGACTTATAGTGACCCTACACAGTGGAGTAGTACTGCCCCATAGGGTTCCCAGGACTTTACAGAAGCAGCCTGTCGGGTCTTTTTTCTGGGGTCAGCTTGTGGGTTTGAACCAGTGACCTCACAGCACCACCTTTTGTTGGTGTTGTTAAGAGCCTTAAAGTCGGTTTTGACTCATACAGACCCTGTATAGGTTTCTAAGAAAGTGCTGGTGGGTTTGAACCGCTGACCTTGTGCTTCAACCTGCCCTTGCAGTCCAGGGCATTAACCCCCAGTGCATACCAAGACTCCAACCACAGTAGAGGCCAAAATGTTGTTTTTGTGACTATGTATTTAAAACTTAAGTGAGGAGGTGTTAGTTTCTTTGTTGTGGTTGTGAAGGTATAGAGCACTTACAGTGTTGTTGTTGATAAATGCTGTTGATTTGGTTCTGACTCATAGTGACCCTGTATAGGGTTTCTGAGGAGCACCTGGTAGGTTTGAACTGCCGACCTTGTGGTTCACAGTCCAGTGCTGATACTATAGTGCCACACCAGGATTCCAGAACACTTGTATCAAGTTTTAAAGATACCATCATCATAACATTTATTGGGAGTCCTGTTGTGGCACCGCAGGCTAATGCGCTGGATTGCAAAGTCAGTTTGAACCACAAGGTTGGTGGTTCAAGCTTACCAGCTGCTCATGGGAAACCCTATACAGTGTTGCTATGGATCAGAACCTACTCTATGGCACTTAACAACGACAACAGCATTTACCTAGCCTGGCATGGCTCAAAGTACTTTACATCCTTACATGTATTCATATCATTCTCTCAACAAGCCTACTGAGGTAGATTTTATTATCCAAATGAGTCACAGAAAGGTTAAATAAGTTGAACAAGATCTCGCAGCTAGTGGGACTAAGATTAGAGCCCTGGGAATCTGGCTTCCTCAGGACCATGTTTTGTGATTTGTTTGTTAGGTGCTATGGAGTCGACTCTTATTCATATGACCTTATGTACAACAGATCAAAACACTGCCCCATCCTGTACCATCCTCACAATTGCTGTGTTTGAAGCCATTGTGTTGCCGTGGTATCAATCCATCCATTGAGGGGTCTTCCTCTTTTTTGCTGACTCTCTACTTTGACAAACATGATGTCCTTATCCAGGGGCTGGTCTTTTCTGACAACATATCCAGAATACAAATGACAAAGTCTCTGTATCCTCGCTTCCAAGGACAAGCTTCTAAAACAGATTTGTTCCTTCATCCATCAGTTTAGGGTACTTTCATATTCGTTGCCAATTCATAATTCAAATGCATTCATTCTCCTCTGGTCCTCTTTATTCATTGCCCAACTTTCACATGCATATGAGGTGATTGGAAATACCATGGCTTGGGGTGGGTACAATCTAGTTCTCAAAGTGACATTTTTGCTCATTAAAACTTTAAAGAAGTCTTTGGCAGCAGGTTTGCCTAAAGCAATATGTTGTTTGATTTTTTAACTGCTGCTTCCATGCGTGTTGTTTATGGATCCAAGTAAAATGAAATCTCTGACAACTTCATTTTTTTTTTTTTTCAGTTTATCATAATGTTATTTATTGGTCTAGTTATGAGGATTTTGACTCAATCCATGCAGTCTTTGATCTTCATCAGTGAATTCTTCAAACTCTTTTCTTTCCAGAAAGCAAGGTTGTATCATCTGCATACCGCATATTGTTCATTAGTTTTCCTGCAATTCTGTTGCCACATTCTCCTTCATATAATCCAGCTTCTCAGATTATTTTCTCAGCATATAGACCGAACAAGTCTGGTGAAAGGACACCACCCTAACACACACGTTTACTGGTTTGAAACCATTCGGTATCCCCTTGTTCTGCTTGAATGAATGACTGCTTCTTATTCTATGTAAAAATTCTGCATGAGCACAAGTAAGTGCTTTTGAATTCTTCAAAATGTTATCCATAGTCAACTGCCTTTGCATAGTTGATAAAGCACAAGTAAATATCTGTCTGTTATTCCCTGCTTTCAGCCAAGATCCATGTGACGTCAGCCATGATCTCCCTTGTTCCATGTCCTCCTCTGAATCTGGCAGAATTTCCTGATGATGTATACTCCTCATACCAGGTGCCTTCTAGTTGATTCAGACTCATGGCGACCTATTGTTGCTAAGTGCCTTCATGTCAGTTCTGTCTCATAGCCACTCTCTAGAGAATGTGGAGCAGCTGGTGGATTTGAACTGCCGACCTAGTGGTTCACTGTCTAGTACTGATCCTGAAGCTCCACACCAGGAGTCCCATGTCCACCTAATATATGTTAAAGTAAAACAGTACTCTGTAGGGTTTTTTGAAAAAGCTTTTATTGTGAATGGAGTGATAATTTCCATGGAAGAACATAGCTTTTGCAATCAACCAGTCATCAATCCGTGCACCATCAGTTAACAGTATTCACTTAATAGTATTTACATCTATTCAGTCTTTTTTTTTTTTTTAATGTACACAAAAACACTCAGGAATATATAATCTTTTAAACAACCAAAGGGCACATTTTACAATCCAGCCTCCCAGCGGCCAGCATACGGCCTTTCTCTTTCCATGAGTGTAGAGTCCTCAGCTGCTCTATCTCACCATGCCATTACCTCTGCCTCCATCTCTGGTGTTGC